TTTAATAATTGAGGGAAGTGTTTACAAAAGAATCTGGCATAGAGTAGGTTCTCAATAAATGTTAGTTGTTACTAGTATTAAAAGGCGAAAATGTCAAAACAGCGTAGAAAAACATAATTAAATACATATATTTCTGTTATGAACATGCTCTTTTAAGTCACATGCTTATTATTTTATGAATGGTATCAACTAGCACTATCTGATAGAATAGTATTGTGAACCATGTATGTAATTAAAATGTTTACAGTAGCCATGTTAAATAAAAGTAAAAATCAGCAGCAACAAGACATAGTGACATCATAAAATTCTTGAAAAGATGCACTGAAATGGACATTTCTCAGCTGTGATTTTTCTTTCCCTAAAGCCATAACCTCATTCCAGCCATGAGAAAACACCAACATTGAGAGAGATTCTGTAAGATCACAGATAAGTACTCTTTATAACCATCAAGATCATGAAAGGCAAAAAAGGGCTGAGGAACTGTCATAGAATGGAAGAGACTAAGGGAACACGACAACTAAATTCAATGTGATATCTTGACTGGGATCCTGAAACCAGAAAAAGGACACCAGTGGATGAAGGTGGTACAGTTTGATTACAGAATGGTGTTTAGTTAATAGGATTGTATCAATGTTAATTTCTTGGTTCTGGTCATTGTACTGAGGTTATATAATATATTAACTTAAAAGGAAGCTAGCTGAAGAGTATATGGAAATTCTATACAATTGTGCAACTTTCAGTAAGTCTAAAATTGGTTCAAAATAAAATAATTCAAAAATTAAATAGAAACAAGTGAATTTGGTTTTAAGAATATATTTTATTTAACCCAATGTATCCCAAATGTTATCATTTCAAAATGTAATCAGCATAAAATTCTTAATAGTGGATTTCATTTTTTTGTATTGTCTTCAAAAATCTGGTGTATTTTACATTTCGATTTGCTCAGTAGCCACATGTGTCTTGAGGCTGCTGCACTGGGCAGAACATGGGTGGATGCAGTGATGGGATGTTACCCAGGGATCCATTGACTCCTTGTTAGCATTTCTCTGGAGTAATGTGTCTCCCAGTTCTGGCCATGGGCCTTCCCCTTAGAACTCCTCCTTAGAACTCCTAGAGGTGATTAACTCCTGGGAGGAGGAGAGCTCAGGTTAGCTAAAGTCTTATAACATTGCTGGCTGGTCTAATGAGAACATGTATTAATTTGTAAAGAGTGTGGTCCTTTCTGGGGGAGTGAGGTGCTCACAGCCCCAGTACTTTCTAACGTGTGGGATAAACAACCCTGGCTGGTGTGGCTTGGTGGACTGAGTACTGACCTATGAACCAACAGGTTGTTGGTTTGATTCCCAGCCTGGGCTCATGCCTGGGATGCAGACCAGCTTCCCAGTTGGGGGTATGCGAGAGGCAACTGATGATGTCTCTCTCACACCTTGATATTTCTGTCCCTCTCTTTCTCTATAAATAAATAAAATTAAAAAAATGAAGTGTGGGATAAGTACCACTAGTTTTAAGAGGCGTGTAAGAAAAATGATTTCAGGTGGTACTTACACATTTCATTAAATTACATTCACTCGGAACGTGAGAATATTTTTTTTCCTATTTCAATTCTCTTTCATTCCTTTTGATTATACCAAAAATCAGGTCTCATTTAGTGCTCTTATATCTTAGTGCCTCCCCAACGTTTGCTAATCTCAAACTCTCTCTTTCCCTGGCTAGAATTGAAAACATTACTTGTTTCTAGTCCATTTGTTTTTGCCATCACCTTTTATTTGTGGAAAATAATACTGGCTCTCCATTTAATTACTGATATAAAATTAATTTATTTAAGTTTTAATTAAAAATATAAATATGGGAACAAATTTAATAAAAATAAAAATATTAAGATAATTGTAAACCAAGTGGACCTGGGAAATAGAAGAAACAGAAACGAAAACAAAACCAACCCCCATCCCCAAACCATCAAGTGATCATAAGAATGTTCGAAATTTGGGGAACTTGAGATCAATTCTCAGTTTCAGATATGTGCCCTTAAAGAAACCTCTAAGAAAACAATTAAGTCTGAGGAGGCAGAAAAGGGTGATTCGATAAATTATCTCCCTCATTAAATTTTTTCTTAGGGAGATTGCTTTTCTCCTCTCTTCCGCCTGGTAGTCTCTCTCTCCCCTTTCAAGTGTTATTCCTCCTCCCTGGTGATGCTTTCTTGCTCCCACCCATGGTTTTCTCTTTCATGTCCCACCCTTTAGCTGAAGTTCTGACTCTCTTCACCTGTCAATCACTGCTCACCTCTGACTTTTTGTGTTCTGACATCTGATAGATCAGGATGCAGCTTCTGAATCCTTGGGATTTCTGCTTCCTTTGGCATCTTTAAAAGGGGATCCTGGATATTTTTTAAAAATTCCTTTGAGCTTACTTTAACACTTTCTGGGTTCAAATTCTGGGCAACTGGAGGGTACTGTTCTCCACAGAGGGAAACATTTCCCATGGCTTCCTTGGAGCAGGTAAGTGAGTTTTCCAGGTTATGGCACACATAGTTTTTCTTATCTTATGCACCAAAGGGCAGCAAAATGATACTTCTAGAATCTGGCTTGGACAATTTATGTCCTTGAAGGATATTATTGCATCAAATTCTGGGGGTATTTAAGGAAAACACTGTCAGTGCGAAACTAAGTATATCAAATAAGGCCGTCAATTTGGAAATGATTTGGGCAAAAGTAATTTTCTCTCTCTTCTACCATTGTTATAGATGGATTATGACAGGAATTAAAGATTTGCTGAAGGTTTTCCCATTATGAGATAATATAAGAAAAGTTTTCACCTCAGATCTGAAAATAATGTCATTTTGCTTTTAGCTCATTTCATGGACTCTTCTCCTTTCTTACCTTTCATATCAGTCATCTTTTTATATTCAGTTTTTGAGCACACATAATAAGAAATAGTTTTAAATATTTACTAAATCTTAAAGGTCAAGCAAGAGAAAGTCTGAAGTGGTTTTTTAAAAGGTAATTCACTCTTTGCTTATTCAAAACAAAACCCACTAAGAATGCTGGTGTCACAAAACCTCAGCGCCACCACAGGCCCAGCTTAGGGCCCCTCAAAGACAGCTAGAGGTTTGACCAGCTAACCGCGTAGGTCACCCCCTGATTCACACAGGCATTCCCAGCCCTTTCATTGGCTGTTTAAGTGTTGCAGGAGGTAGACCTGAGGCCTGCAGATAAAAGGTGAGAACTCATGCTATTTCCCTGCTCCCTTAACACCCGCAGTTGCTGATACTTGCTGAGCAAATAAACTGTATTACATACTAGTGGAAGTACTTAACTTGTGTTATCTAATTCCAACAACAAATGAATGAGGCAGGCACTGTCATTATCTTCATTTTACAGATGAGAAAACGAAACTTGGAAGTCGTGACTTACTTACGGGCCAGCAGCTAGTAAGACCAGAAGGTTGGGTTCAAATCCAGAAGGCCTGGTTCCAGAAGCAAATCTCCGTTTCTGCACCAGGCAGGTGGACCCTCTGGATGAAGCACTGTTGCTCCAACAGAATTTAGAGCCAACAAGAGTCTGTGAAGAGAATCCAGGTTTTGTGCTTTGAAATCAAGTTGTATTTTATTGGAAACATGCCTAGGCAGGGGGTGTAATAAATATCACATTTAAGAATGTGGCAAAACTTCTAATTTTATGTAGTTGAAAGAAAAACTCCTAGAAATTATTGTTAAGAACATGGAGCCTCACTAAATTAAATAAAAATGAACAACTCTGGAACTTGGAACTAAAATGAGACAGTGAAACAAATGACTCCATTAATGGGGTTTCTGTCATATATGTTATTCCATTTCTGAGGCTGAATTCTCTAAAATGTTAGCAATTTGCTTTTGATTTTCATTGTTTTTTAATCAGTCCCATATCTAATTGATGCTTTTATATTTATTTCTAAGGCAATGAGTTCCCAAGCACAAATACCAAAGGAGAATTCTATTACTTTTTAATAATTGCAATAGGAGGAGGAGGTATCCCAGCAGTATTTATTCCTCTAGAGAGAAAAAAATAAATGTGTGGGGCTCTTTCTTTGCTTTGCTTTCCATTGCTGTTTAGATAGAAATTTCCTTATTCATGTAATGCACTGACAAAAACCACACTGAAGAGACCAATTTTCAGCAAGCAAATCCTGCCAATTAAGGAGTTTTGGGTAGGTCAGGGTATGAAGGAGATCCAGAAGTTTTAGATAAGGCTTTACAAACAACCTTTGTTGAAGTAACACTTATGGGTTAGGTATGGAACCAACCTCAACATTCCAGGGATCTCATCTTACTTTATTTTATTTCTTTCTCTTCACATCAGTTGACGTTCCTCTTTGCTCAGTGATCCTTGTACAGTAGCATTGTGTGAGGAGAGAAAACAAGTTAAGTCCTAAAAGGCCAAATCCTTGCTTTAGGAATGGAGCTTTGTCCTATTATTTGGTAGGATGAGCAGTAGACCAACCATAATTTAATTTGGAAAAATGGCTATGATATAAATGCACTAGCAATTTTTTTGTCCAGAATGATGGACTTAATGACATACACAAATGGATAGATTTTTAAAAGTGGTTACCTCTTCTTAGGATTTATATGTGAAATTTGCAGCTTCATGATGCTGAAACAGTGGATTGATTTGGTTTTCTTGGATGGTGGAGGAGGATTTGGAAGAAAAGTCTTTTTTTCCAGGAAAACATGGCGGGGAGGGTATATTAGTTTGCTAGGGCTGCCCTAACAAAGTGCCACAGACTGGCTGGCTTATTCAACAGAAATTTCTCACAATTCTGGACACTCTAAGTTCCAGATCAAAGTGTTGGCAGGATAGGCTTCTTCTGAGAGCCATGAGGAAAGGCTCTATTCCAGGCCTCAATCCTTAGCTTTTATTTTAATTAAATGATTTTTTAGGAACTTTATTTTTTCATCAACCGAATTTCCATGTTCTGTTTAAGACGAGCTTAAGACCACTCAGTGGTTGCTCCCACACTTTCAGTGGCCGAGCAGTGGGAGCTGCAGACCGGTCTTCAGCGCCGGGCTGAGCGCTCCGCCTTCAGCAGGAAGCGCGGAGCAGGCACGGAGGGCACCCGCACGCCTTCAGACCAGTCTGCAACTGTGGGGTGAGTAGCAGCAAATTCAGGAGCTGGAGCAGTCCTTTCACCCTGAAACTCCTCCTTGGTCACAGCCTTTTCAGCAGCCGCCTGCTCTTCCTTTTAAATCTCTTCAGGATCTCCGTGGAAGGAGAGATCTAGCGTGGCCTCCTTCCTGGAGGTGCTCTTGGGCGATGGGGCCACGCATGTGCAGAACTTCCCGGACCAGCGTCCACCACATCAGAGTCACTGAGTGAGCTCCTTTGTTGTTGCACTTGATGGCAAAGTCCACAGAGTGCAGAGGCGCAACTTGTGACACAGGGCATTGGTAGGTGGGTTAACTTAAGGCATCTGTGATAAGCTGGCAGTTCGTCTTGGTTGGACTCAGTAACCACCAGAAGTTATGGCTTCGAGAAGGCTGCCTGCACCTGGTTAGTGGAGTTTTCAGAAGTGAAGTGGCAGCAATAGAAGTGGCTCCAAAGGCAGCAGCAAACTTCAGCACAGCCTGCTGGTCACTATTTCTGGAGGACAGACTGTGACTGAGATCCAAGCCAGATTAATGGCACGAGCTGCCAGCAGAAGCTTCTCTCAGGTTCTCTTTGTGGTGAAGATGCCATCACTCTTCCTGCTGTAGATATATTTTCTATTTGGAAGTCAAAGTTGGTGGCACCAAATGTGTTCCTGTTGCAAGGAATATGTGGACATCCTCCTCTATTTGCAGGGCATCAAGGTCTCTGGGCATTGTGAACATTTCTCTTTATATTATGATGGGAACCCAGAACAATGCCTCATGGATCCCTTTTTAGGCCACATGGCTAATTTCTTCTTATGTCATCACATCATATCTCCTCTGTGCATGTCCATCCTAATATTCTCTTCTTGTAAGACACCAGTTATATTGGATTAGAGTCCACCTAATCCAAAAATGTCCTCATTTTTACCTTACTCACCTCTTTAAGGGTCTTGTCTCCAAATACAGTCAAATTCTGAGTCCTGAGGTGGGAGGGTGGCTAGGACTTCTACATACAAATTTTCAGGGAGAAACAATTCAGTCCCTAACCATGGGTAGCCTCATTTATTCTAGGCTGCAAGAGAAGAAAGGCTTAGTTTTAAAGTTAGTCTTTAAAGTTATAATTTGAAAAAGCCTATTTTTGGTACACAAAGTTTTTTATTCCCCCTGGATCCTTCGTTGTATTGTCACCATTTTCTTTATCCTTATCAGACTCTGCCTCACTGCTCTGTCTCCCTCAATCACCGGTCTTATCTCTCAAGAGAGAATCTGATGGCAATCTCTCCTGGAGTGAAGAAATTTTAAGCCAGAGAGATTTGTGTGTTATGTTCCTCTTTATAAAGCATAATGAAAGGCTTTATCTCCACTTAAAGGAAATTCACTCATCAATGCATAGATCAATAGGCGAGGGGTGGGGTGAGACGGAGCCCTTTTCCTTGCCTCACTGCTGAACTAACAATTAACATACAGCCAGGCACTTACAATTAATCCCTTTACAAAATCGGTCCTTACATCTATGGGGGACTTTCCCTCTTCAAGGGAAAGAGGCAGTAAACTCAAGCAGGAATAACTGAAGGAAGTTTAATAAAGAGATTATTTGAAAGATATAAGCAGGTTTAAAGAAAACTAGCATGAGATGGAGGAACATACCAGGGCAAGCAGCGGAAGGAAGCCATTCCACCTCTAGACCTGAAGGCCAAGGAGAGGGAATGTTACCAGAACCCAGACAGAGTTGTAGGAGTAGCTGTATCTGGGAGAGAAGGCTTTCTGCCGGAAGCTATGGTTTTGAAGGGAGGCCCAGGGAATTACTACTCAAATTCACTTTCTTCCTGCCCTGCACTCTCCCAGGAGAGCTCTCACAGCTGAAAGCTAATGGAAGCCAGAAGCTGACAGAGTTGATGTGGTCAGTAGGTTCATCCTCCTAAAGCACAGAGCAGAGTGGAAGAGATCCTTCTCCTCAATGTGTTTCATTTTTTGTTGTTGTTGTTGCAAATGAGGTAACTATTCAAGGCCTTGGAACTAACAATGAGTGCTAATTTTAGGCTCTCATTTTCTCCTCTATTTTGAATGATGAAATGACTAAGAGAAAGTTCCTGTTAATCACTGTCAGAGATTTAGTCTAAATGTCTGGTTCTACATCCTACCACAATGAGTTTTCATACTGTGCCTTGAACATTTATTTGGTCCCCAGTGTCAAGATGAAGGAAACATTTTCCCGTCTTTGCAGACTTCTGCCGCTTTTGTCTGCCCGGTGTTCTTTTTCCTCTTTTCTGATAACAGCACCTTGATTTTCCTTTGGGGGCCACATTTTCCCATCTCTTAGTTCATGGTGTTGGGCTGGGGCATAGATCTCTAAGAATGGAGCCCACAGGTAACAGCAATCAAGGACTCTGCATCTTTTTTGCCACAGAGATTATTTTTTTTAAAAAAAGAAAAAGGCATGTGCCCCATTAATATATGGCATCAGACATAGGACTTCTGCTGATGCAGTGTATTCTTTTTATAAACTGTCACAGTTGCAAAGGTGGGGGGATATAAAGCCAGAGTTCCTTGAAATAACCTGCTTCAATGTGAGGCCAAAACAGAAAAGAGTAGAAAGGAGACACCAGTAATGGTAGATTCCTGGATCTAGCTGTACCTGAAGTTCTCTTGAACTTTTAGTTGCATGACTCATGATTTCTTTTCTTAAGCCAGTCTGGGTTTCTGTGACTTATAATAGAAATTCCTGAATAATATATTCTCTGTGATTTTAAAGTCAATATTACTTTACGTTGAGGTCTACATATCTTATTTGCTATTGGATGGCCTGGGTTTGGTCTGTGCTTTAGTGTTGCACTGCAGGGGTAGGGGAATTAGCACTGCTGAAAATACATTTGTTAACAGAAAAATAAAGTTACATATAGGCCATTGGCTGGCATTTTTTTCTTGGGAATAGAAGCCACCTGTCAATTGTAGAGAATATCACTTATTTGATGAGATAATGTAAAATGTAGATATAGGCCATCCACAAGAATATGAGGCATTAATTTTAGGTTTTTTAAAAAAGGTATTATCAACAAGTCTACTGGAGCAATTAATGAAAAGGGAGCCAACTGTATGGGAAAATATATTTGCTAATGATACATCAGATAGAGATTTGATCTCCAAGATATATAAAGAACTCACTCGACTCCACTCCAAGAAGACAAATGATCCAATCAAAAAATGGGCAAAGTACCTGGACAGACGCTTTTCCAAGGAAGAGATACAGAGGGCCCAGAGATATTTGAAAGGATACTCGGCATCACTAGCCATCAGAGAAATACAGATCAAAACCACAATGAGATACCACCTCACACCAGTCAGAATGGCCATCATAAACAGATCGACAAACACCAGGTGCTGGCGAGGCTGTGGAGAAAAGGGAACCCTAGTACACTGTTGGTGGGAATGCAGACTGGTGTAGCCATTGTGGAAAGCAGTGTGGAATTTCCTCAAAAAGCTGAAAATGGAACTGCCTTTTGATCCAGTGATTCCCCTGCTGGGACTACACCCTAAGAATCCCAAAATGCCAATTCAAAAGAACCTATGCACCCCAATGTTCATAGCAGCACAATTTACAATAGCCAAGTGTTGGAAGCAGCCTAAATGCCCATCAGTAGATGATTGGATCAAAAAATTATGGTACATTTACACAATTGAATACTACACAGCAGAAAGAAAAAAAGAACTGCTAAACTTCGCGACAGCATGGATGGAACTGGAGAGCATTATGCTAAGCGAAATAAGCCAGGGGGCGAAAGACAAATACCATACGATCTCACCTATAAGTGGAACCTAATCAACAAAATAAAGATGCAAGGAAAATAAGACCAGCAACACTGAAAGAAAAAGAAACCAACAGAGACAAGAGGGAAGAAGGGAGGGGTGGGTGGGGGAAAAGAAAGGGAAGGGGAAAGTCAAGGAACATATAGCAAGGACTCATGGACAAAACCAAAGTGGGGAAGGATTGAGGGAGGGAGAGGGAGGAGGGGGCAGGGGAAAGTGGTGGGGGGAAGGCAGAGACAAATGTATTTGGGAAAATAAATAAATTAATTTTTTAAAAAGTGGCTCAAGTTTCTTATATCTCTTTAAGTTGCATTGCATTAACTATACTCTAAGACCTCCTTCAGTCAGTCTGGGAAGGAAAGCAGAATAGTTCCTATTACAATTTCTATTTGTCCTGCTATTATTTGCTTTCGGGTTATAAATACCTTCCTGAGGCTATTTCCAACACAAACTTTCAAAGGTAAAATAGTTACATACTCTGCCACATTACTGCTTAGGCTGTCCATGCAACACTAAACAATTAAAAGAATAAAATTCATTCAATCATTTGGATGATTCCAAATAGGTATAAAGCAGATTTAAAAATCTGGATGTTTGGAGTTCATTTAGACATAATTTACAATGTAGATGCATAGCCGTATATGGATTTGCGGTCCATTGGAGCTTCAGTGGGGGCCCTGTCTGAAATGTATAATTAAGTGGTAGAGCAGGCCTCCTAGGAAGGTGCTGCTTGATTAGGAGACTCTGTGATGTGCTGTAAGACTGATATTTATTATCAAATTCCTTTTCAGAAGGTTGTATGAATGTTCACTCTTACTAGCTTTGGATAAAAATGCCATTACTTACTTCCTTACCAGAACCAAACATTAGATTTTACTTAATATCTTTTAGATATCATTTAATACTTTTTAAATATTACTTAATATCTTTGAAATGTTATGTAAATATTTTTGCCAACTTGGTAGGACAAAAATGTATCGCATAGTTTTGTGTATCTCCTTTCTCCTTGCTTACTAGTGAGCTTGAACTTTTTTTTTCTTAATGTGGATTTGGACTTCTGCCTTTCTTCTTTTGTGAATTACCTATTTAGACCTTTTATCTAATTTTCAAAGTTAAGAATACATCTGTTTAAGAAGTTGTATGTATGTATTTATTTATTTACTTATTTATTTGTATTGAATTTATTGGGATGACATTGGTTAGTAAAATTACA